TTGCCAGGGAAATAGATGTAATATTAACTTACTTTTGCTGACACGTCCAAAGCTTCTCGCTTGTGTTTACTGATGTTATGTTCTAGCTCTTTAATTTTAAGCTGTGATTCATTATTCTGCTCTTTATATTTGACGGCCTCCGCACATTTGCCTTTAATTGCTTTATCTTGAGCTAGCACCATCGCTTTTTGCTTTGCCAGTTCTTCTTGAGCTTTCCTCACAGATTCCTGAAGAAGAGATATAACAGAAAGCTCCCCAGTCACACTACCACCAAACTGAAGGATAGATCAATTTTTTTCATTTTTAAGTTTAAATCAAAAAGACTGCAAGAAATTGAATTAGCTAGTTGGAGGTTCTGTGGTAGGCCCATTTAGAGGACAAGACCTGGAGCTCTAGTTATAAACTTAGCGCTGTATACGAAATATAGACCAATTTCTAATAACTACAGTAAGATTTGCCGGCAAGATACTTGAGGCAAAATGAGTTGTTCACCATGAAAGACCGGAAGCATTTAATATTCTAAAAGCTCCAAAAACATAGTTGTGTATACGAGGTAAGGCATATTTGGTTAAGAGCCAGTTTGGTCTACTGGTTAAGGCATCAGGAGATATGAATTCTAGTCCCGCCTCAGGCATGAAAACTGACTGAGTGACCTTGGGCCAGTCACCCTCTCTCAGCCCAACCCACCTCACAGGGTTGTGAGTTGTGATAAAGTTAAGATCAAAATAAATAAATAAATAAACCCAGTATTTATTTTAGTAATTCCGAATAAGACTAACCTTATTTTTTGCTACCTCAGCTGATATGGTCTCAATTTGTTCTTGGAATGATTTAATAGCTTCGTTCACAGCCTCTATCTGTTGGTCATAGGAGGCTGCTTCCTGTTTTAGTTCTTGGAGTTCCAAAACAAGTGCTTCAACCTCCTAAAAATATATGCAGATATTAACAATATAATCTTATTCATACTTACATCAGAGTGAGTACAACAGGATCCATTTGTATTAGCATTTAAAGGTTTGAGATGCATAAATATTTATTCAAACTAATTGTATGGTGTGGTATAAATTTGGATCTCAGGGAGGAATTACATTTCGTTATAATAACGCAGGACTTTACTTGTAGTTTCAGTTTCTTGTTCCGTTAGCTAAGAAGGAATTTTCATATCTCATATCAAGACCATGTCACAAACAAGGAAATTCTACAAAAGAGTAATTCCAAAAGACTCTCTGAGATAGTGGCAGAATGAAGAATGCACTTTGCTGGACATGTGCTCTGCATGAGTGAGTAACTTTCAGCAAAGATCGCCATCAATTGGATACCATCAGATGGTTGGAGAAAAAAAGGAAGGACAAAGAAAATCTGGCACCGAATATTTCAGGAAGATCTGAAAAACATCAGCCTTAAATTGAAGGATGCAGAGGCTGTAACTGAAAACTGTGGAGTATGCTTATAAATCAATGTGCTTATCACAGATCATCATCATCACCACAACAGTAATGCAAAAATTGCATTTGTATATCTAATTCCTTAAAAGAAATGCAAACCTTCATTTTAAGATATTTTTTTTCCTTATGTGATGTATAAATCCATTGTTTGTCAGCCTTAAGCTCAGATTGTAGATAATGTACAAGCTACAACAAGCTGATACCATCAAAGAATCCCAAAGAAGCTTCTAAGATATCTCAAGCTTCCCTTGGCCACTAATAACCAGTTCAAAACAAGACAAGACAAGACAAGACAAGTTTCCTAAATTCTGCTTTACACAGAAACCCAACTCATACATAGGTGTGCATCCTAGCACTCCTCCAAGTGAATTCAGAGTATCAAGATTAATTTTGGGAATATCACAGATTTGGTTCATAAATTATCACTTCTGCAGTTCAGATGGTTCCCCACTGATTTTCTTTATCAGTTATAAAATCTGTTGTGTTTGAGCTGAACAAGGTAGAACGATCAAAATTATACATTAATTATCATTAATTCAAGGGCAAACTATTATTTAGAACTTTCTGTTTTCTGTTTAGCCTAATGCTATGAGAGGAACATAATTTTCCTTTCAAGGGAAAAAAATACTGTATGCATATTTTTTTAAAAAGCAGTTATACAATAGCAAATTCAGACATTGCAGAAAGATTTGTCATAACGTGAATGAATCCCGACAAGATATGTGCTCACGGGCCTTTCCTTCTGCCCTACCCACTCTTTCAGAATGGCTGCAACAAGGGGCTAGAAGAAATCTCATCTATGATTTTTATTAAGAAGTGTAAGGTGCTCTCTCATTCCAGGGTCCCCAACACCCAATCAGATGCAGAATTGATGTCTATCCAAGGCAGGAAAGAGAGAAGCACGAATGAATGTAAGGTTTAAAGAATAAGGGTTAGGATTCAAGAGCAAATCTTAACAAATCCCATCCAAACTGTGAAGTGAGACTCGGGGAAAATTTTGTAAGGAAACGGGCCAGATTCTGAATATATCCAAAGTAAAATAAACTACTTTTCTTTTGCTAGGACAGATATAGAGTCAGTTTGGTGTAGTGATTAAGGCACCAAACTACAAAGTTCTAGCCCTGCCTTAGGCACAAAATCAAGTGCATGACTTGGGCTCATCCTTCCCTTTCAGCCCGAGGGAGGAGGCAAAACACTTCTGAAATGAAAACGGCAGTGGATTGCATTAGATTTTCCCCTCTTACATCCACAGCTACCTGGGAAAGATTCGCTCTTTCCTTTATTCAGAACGATGTTGTATTTTTCCCTAGGAAGATTCAAAGAACAAAACATTCTCCCTCGCTACTTAATTTCTCCCTAGCTACTTAATCTCAAGGGGAAACATCTGACATAGAGGGGATCAAGTCACAACCCAACGATGGAGCAGCTTCTAATCCAATAGGGTTCTCTGCAGCTTACATTGTATATAATGACAACTACTGATAGGTGTTAGCATTGCAACTCAGTTTTAATAGTGGTAAAATGGAAGGGAGAAGGGAAGGATGAGAATGCTGGAGGCTAAGATGTCAGATTAATACCTTAATATTTACCTAATCTTTGGCTGTTATATTATAGAACAATTGATCAGTGGAATGACTTGCCTTCAGCAGTTGTAGGTGCTCCATCACCGGAAGAGATTAGACAGTCATTTGTCTGAAAAAGTATAGGGTCTGAAATGCTTGAGCAGAGAGCTGGACTAAAAGATGTCCAAGGTCCCTTCCAATTCTGTTATAATTCAAGAGATGACACAAAGTACCAAGCAGATCTGCTCTGCCTTCAGCATACATTCTTTCAGAAACTTGAACACAGATAGACAATTTTTTAAAAAAAAGGAATCTATTTATCGGTTGACTCTACTTCTTTTCTAGGCTGGCCTTATAGTGGCACTGCTATCAACTGTTTACCTGTTCCTTTTCCTTCATCTTCTTAGTGGAAGCATCGGCCTTTTTCTTGGCCCCATTTAGTTTTTGCTGGGCATTCTTCAGTTCTTTCTCCCTTTCCGCTTCAGCGTTTTTCATTTTATTTTCCAGCACTTTCAGTTTTTCCTCAGCCTTTTTTTGTACTTCTTTTGTTTTATTTAGCGTCTCCTCACTTTCCTCTAAAAACAAAGAGAGCTTTGATTGTAGCTTTTAAACAGAAGAGTTATACAGCAGAAAGCAAAATATCCCTTTACGAAATTTAGGAAAAAAATAAATATTACTATTCTGTCTAAAATAATAAGCCAATGTCTTCATTAATACTTTAAAATAATTTTAATTATGACTTTTTTCCCATTTTGGGCTTGCGATACTTAAATTCTATTTAGATTATTTTATTCGCTTAAAATGTTTGAAGTATTTGGTTCAAAGCCAACTTTTCTTCCTCAGCAATATCTATAGGTTGAAATTCAAGACAGTAACGGTTTTATAGTATTTATAACTCTTTTCTTCTCACCAATGGTTTTTTTCAGAGTATCCAGTTCTTCCTGATGCTTGTGATAAGTGCTTTGTTGTAACTTGGTTTGTAAGAGGTCAGCTTCTTCAGACTTCATTTCCCATTGTTGTTTCAGTTGATGATACCTTAACAGATGTAATAATTTAAAAACATGTTTCTATTCCACTAACAAAGCTTTTATACATTTAAAAACCGGTCCATGTTATTTTTTGATTATGAACATCGCGTTCCAAAATCATGTACAGCATGCTTTAATTTTTTCAGATTTATAATCAAGAAGATACGTAATAATTTGATAGGGGTGCATGTAGTTCTGTTAGCTTTCAAAAGCAAAACTTTTATAGGTAGTCCTCACTTCATGACTATTTGTTTAATGACTATTCAGAGTTACAGCACTCAACGAATTAGTTATGGCCAATCCTTGAAATTACAGCCATAGCAGTGACCCAGGAATCACATCATCAAAATTAGATGTTTAGCAGCCCATTTACGTTTGAGTGTTATGAACTGACATAAACGTATTTAATAAAGTTAACAACCTTGATAGAAAAGCAGGCTCGTAATCCTGCACTTTTGATTGGTCCGTGGATAGCGAGCTGGGATTGGTCCTTACGGGGCAACCTGATTGGCTATTAGCGGAACGTCTCTCATTGGGTACAATTTAAACGTTTCAACGTAAGTCATTGGGTAATGGGACAGCAGCCAGCCCTATAAAAGAGCTGTTGCTGCCCAGGGTTTTTGCTCTGTTCCTGGTCGTTAATAAAGAGTTGAAGTTCACTGTTCACAGCCTCGTCTCCGTTCCTTGCGCCCATGCTCAGAACTTAACAGAGTGCAGGAGACATTTCAACAATCCCCACCCACTTCCCCCCATATCTGACCATCTGACCATCCTGTGCTCTGCTGCCACCCCCAGCTGGCCTTCACCATCATCTTTCTCCTGCTGATGCTGGCCCTTTGCAAGGCCATCTACTGCATTACAAGAGGCCTCATGAGACAGGCACACTTCATCAACAGTAGGAGGAAAAAGGCAGTGAAGGTCAGCTGGGGCCACCACCGAGTGGCAGAGGCAGAGGTGAGGGGCAGCCAAAAGGGCAAAGATGGGGGAGTTGAAACAGAGACCAATATGGAAAGGCAGGAGAAGCACGGGATCCTTGCCTAACAATAGTGCAGTCTTCACCTAACAACTACCAAAACTGATGTTGCTAAGCAGGGCAGGTTGTGGAACGTTTAGCTTAACGACTGTACCACTTAGCAAATGGAAATTTTGGTCCCAATAAGAGTTGTAACCTGAGGACTACCTATATCTGAAATTTGAAGTTTAATCTTTTTACAGATTTTCATCTAGAGGAGATCCACTGTTTTCAAGTATTAATTTATAAAAACCAATCGTACTGAACTAACTTCCTTCCTATTCCCAGAATTTCTGGATAAAATAAATTGGTCAGTGCGTACTTTTCAAGAGTCACCTGTAGACTTGCTAACTCTTTCCCTGTTGTCTGTAGTTCAGCCTCTTTTGCTTTCAATTCGTCTTGTGCTTCTTTCATTTCTTGAAGTTGGGACAAAACTGAAGCCGCCTGAGACCGTGCACCTGGTTTACGAAAGACAGAGTTGCATGCATGAAAACTAGTTCAAATATGAGTGGCAGTATTGCTTATTTGTTTAAATCTCGGCACATAAATCCTTTGGATTCCAGACAAATGTCATAATATTGAACCTGTGATAACCGGGCTACATAAATTCCTATAGCAGCTGACTGTAATGATACATACAGGAAGGTATTGGTGGATTATAAAGATCCTAGAACGATCTATCCAAGAGCCTGTAGAGATTCTCAGCCATCCAGATCATGGTTGTCCCAAAGGTGTTTTTTCAGGAGGCAATTGGACTTTCTTGTTTTTCCTCTTGAAGATGTTTTGCTTCTCATCCAAAAATCTTTTTCAGCACTGACAGGATAGTGGGGAATGGGAGCATTTATATTCCTTGCAAACAGCTGGCAATTTGCATCCTTTTGGAGCAGGGGTGTCCAACTCAATTTCCTTGAGGGCCGCATCAGGGTTGCGTTTGACCTCAGGGGGCCAGGGCAGGCGTGGCCAGGGTGGGTGTGGCCAGCTCGACATCACTCAAGGCTCCGTTTTCAGCCGCCTGGCCTTCCTAAGCTCTGTTTTCACTGGCAGAGAGCTTTAGGATCCTGTTGCGGCTGAAAATGGAGCCTGGGAGGGATGTGCACGGCCCTCCTGAGCTCCGTTTTCGCTGGCAGAGGCACCGTGGGTCGGTCCTTCCCTGTTTCCTGGGCGGGCCCATGGACCAGATCTAAACACACGTTTTAGAGGGTCGCTGAAGTACTTTGAGGTTTCGTTGTGTCCTCAGGATGACCTGAGTAGTGCTTCTGGTTCCTGTAGTCTGCAGTTTTATCTCTGAAATCCATTCCTACTCCCATACCATTCAAAGGGCGTTCATCCCAAATTGTATAGCTAAAAGTCTGTAGAGATAAACCTCCAAGTACTTTACTGCTCTCTAAAAGGATGCAAATTACTAGCCGTCTGAAAGGGGAATATAAATCCTTCCATTGCCCACTATCCTATCAGAGCTGAAGAAGATGAGAAGTGAAACGTCTTCAAAAGAAAAAACAACAAAATCCAGTTGCCTCCCGAAAAAGCACCTTTGGGATGACCAAGACTCTCACCCTGTAGTGTAATAGGTTGGTTTACACAGGTGAATTTACAAAGTGTAGGTTTTGGACAAGCAGATAAATGCACTTCAGTAAAAGAAAAGTCTCGATATTTTCCTTAAATATAACAGAGACATGTCAAAAGGGTATTGTAGGAAAGAATAGAAAATTAGCCAGTACCTCCACTCAGTGTGCCCTGAGGATCAAACGTGTCTCCACCCAGAGTGACTGTTTTTGTCATTATCCTTTTGTCAAAGGTGACTCTCTTGGCATTATCCATGTTATCACAAACTAAGGCCTGCCCAAAGACATACTCCATTGCCTTTTGGATTTCAGAATCGTAGCCCACCAGACTAAGGGCCAGATTAACATTGTCATCACCAACCTAGAATAAAAGGAGAAAGGGCAAACTTCAGGAAAAGAAGGCTTGACTCAGGATTTATTTTTCCAAAATTCTATGATACAAGAAAATTGTATGGAGATTTGTTTTCAGCTTACGGTCATTATATCATAGCCTACTGCTGGTCAGACAGAAACTACTTAAAACGTAGACCAGACTGAATCCTGGTATGGTAATTAGATATATACAAAACACAGCACTGAAATTTGACGTCTAGGAAATCTGTTTGCCTGCTTGAATGCTCCATATTCAGAATCTTGCAAACCATTTTCTCTTCTGGAATTTATTTGTGGAAAATTACAATGTCTTTGCAACAAATGGATGGCAATATTCCAGGAGAAAAATGAAAAGTTCCCTCCCTAGAATAATGCATTTGGGCTGAGTGGTAACTGTAACGCCCATCATTCAATACTGGTTGTGAATTCTGGAAGCTGTGATCTCCACGCATCTGGGGGAACACTATTTGGAAAGGGTTAGTGAACCCCATATATTTTAATCGGAAAGCTATTGTTGCTAAAACAATCATTCTGAAATGGAGAGATTTAATTTAATATTATTAAAATTAAAAAAAAAAACTTTGATGGAGATATGTATTTAAAAAAATAAAGAACAAGAAAATACATGTTAAAAATAATTGTCTGGTTCATAACAATGTGTGGAAAGCTGAGAAAGAGAATAAAGAAAAAAAAATATCTCAGTATAGAAATATGTTCAAAACCCCTACAAAAGAAAACATACCAAGTTTTTGGCCACTTTGATAGTTTCTTTTCCAATACATCTTGATGAAATTTTATTCAGTGGAATAATAGTATATCGACGCTTCAGTTCTCCTTTTTCTAACAGCTTTTTCCCAGTAACCTAACAGAGAAGTAAAAAACAATGCTCACATATTTGCTAACCCATTTTACCTGCAGCTACTACTAAATTTATTACAGTGATAAAAATAGTGTTAAAACATGTATTTAAATTTTTTTTAGGATTCATCTGATTTATCATTCATCGCTATATTATGTACATTGTACAGGTAGTCCTCAACTTACAATTTGGCCCAAAATTTCTGTTGCTAAGCAAATCAGTTAAGTGAATTTTGTCCTATTTTACAACCTTTTCTTGTCACAGCTGTTAAGGGAATCAATGCAGTTGTAAAGTTAATAATGTGGGTTGTTAAGTGAATCTGGCTTCCCCTTTGACTTGGTTTGACGGAAGGTCTCAAAAAGCGATCACGTGACTCTGGGACACTTCAACCATAAATATGAGTCAGTTGCCAAGCATCTGAATTTTGATCACATGACCATGGAGGATGCTGCAACCATCTTAAATGTGAAAAACGACCATCAGTCACTTTTTTTAGGGCCGTTGTAACTTTGAATGGTCACTAAGTGAACTGTTGTAAGTTGAGGATTATCTGTATATTTTTCACATGCACAAACTCTGTCTACCCACATAAACACTATACACATGTTATTATAGTTTGAAAGGTCATCTTAAACATTACAAACATAATACAATTGAGAAATTAGGACCATTTTATGCATTACTTTTTTAATTTATCAGAATTATTATGTGCTTAAGCAATTATAAATATATCATTCATATACACTCATGAATACGAGTCTAGATTCTATTTGCTATTAAATTTACGTTTGGTTTGCTGCTAAACAACTGAGGAAAAAAAAAACCAGAAGTGATATGTTTAATAAAATCTTTGAGAAACGCACCTCAGTGTCCACCACAACATTATAAAGTCGACCACCAGCCACTACTTCTAGTGCTGTTGCTGTAGAAACATCTTTCACAGTAATCAAAGATGCAACCAGCCCTTTCACACGATCTGGATTCCAGCTTGTTTCTGGATTTCTTGAAATCAATGAAGAAATTGTTTTGTCAGAATGTATTAATGCTTTTATATTACATATATTTTGTTGATACTGAACAATATTGTGAAATCTCTAGCCAAAGACAAGGTTTCTTCCCAATTTCCAAGTTCCACTATAAAACATTTTAACATAATTCTTGTCTGGGGACAAGGAGATACAACTTAACGTTCTGTAGCTTCACCTGTATTCAAAGCGTAGATTGGGGAACCTGGCCAGGAAAGTTTCATAGGATTCCCTCAAACGATTTACCACACGGGATAACTCCTTTTGCTTTTCTAAAAGACGCTCTTCTTTTTTATCTGAAACAGCCAATGAATAAATAACATTATCCAGACTATTTATTTCTAAGGTTTCAGAAGTAGCTGATTAGACAGAAACTTAATAACCTGATATAGAAGCTACCTTAATAGGCAAAAAAATGGGCAAAATGGGCAACATCTGTAACTAACTTATCACATATTCCAGCTCATATTTGCAATATCGCACACCTATGTATAGGTAGTCCTCGACTTACAACAATTCGTTTAGGGACAGTTCCAAGTCACAACGGAATTGAAAAATGTGACTTATTGCAGCATCCACAGGGTCACCTGATCAAAATTTGGTTGCTTGGCAACTGGTTCGTATTTATGACCATTGCAGTGTCCTGGGGATCAGGTGATCCCCTTTTGTGATCTTCTGACAAGCAAAAGCAATGGGGAAGCCAGATTCCCTTAACAGCTCTGGCAAGAAAGATCGTGAAATAGGGCAAAACTCACTTAACAAATGTCTCGCCTAACAAGAGAAATCTGGGGCTCAATTGTGGTTGTAATTCGAGGACTACCTCCACTACTTGTTAGTGCAGGATATGTTCAAATTGAGCCTGGAATTATGGTCCTCCAAGTAAGCAGCAACTCATCTTGAATCTCCATCTGTGTGTACAATATGTAAATCAAAACCCCCTCCGTTCGAGACAGCAAACAAACCTTCATAGTTGAGTTTCTTCATTTCGTGTTCAAGTTTCTCTTTCTGTTTTTTGGCGGCTTCAAAGGATTCTTGATCTTTCTTGTAGCCCCCATCCATTTTTTTTACTTCGCTCTGTTTAGTCTTCAGCTCTTGCTGCGCGTGTTTCAGTTTCATCTGAGCCTTTAAAAAAAAATATGAAATGTTTAGCTACGATTCAAATCTTTTATTTTGGAATGAAGTTAACTTTCCTAGAGAAACAGTCATTTAAAAAAAAAGTAAGCATCGTGAATCTTCTGACTTCAGGCACCAAGCGGCTCTTCGAAGAAGGGAAATGTTAGTAGTTGAAATGGGTAAAAACTGTCAAAGAAAGATAATCCTGATTTGTAAAGAACAGAACAGGAAAAATCACAAATCCCTTGAAACATAAACATGAGCCTGAAAATGTCAGCTCTGCCCTTTCTACAGACATCATTATGAAGGATTCCCCAGAAACAGGAATGGTTGCCACCAGGCCCAAAACGTTTATCCGGTCTGGTAGGGAAACAGTATTTCATGCAAACATATCCTATGATAGCTGAAGGTAAGACAAGAGCAAATCTGGGCCTGCAGAAATGAGTCATATATAATCCTAAAAATAGGAAGATTTACAAAACATCTGATATACTGTTTTCCCAATTCCACAATAAGGAAACAGCAATTTCCAGGAGAATGGCTTGGGCGGCCAACTTCTTTTTCCAGTTACAATCCTCGGTGTTAAAACGGCAATCTAGCCAAATTAAAATTCAAGAGAGCCTATAATAGAAATTGAAAAAAAAAAATCCTCATCTTTAATACAGAAAATATATATTGGACATATTTCCCCCAAAATTCTTCAACTCTCTCCTTATTCCAGATATTTTGCTTTATCAATGCTTCTGCAGTCAATTATCTGCCTTCATGAGTTGCTATCCTACAAAAGGTCACAATAATCTTGGAACTTCCGGTTTGCAAGGTTTCGGCAGCGGCAGGGATTCGCGATACTGCGCGATCCCTGCTGCGTTCGCTGCCAAGGTTCCCCCAATCCGTTTGGATCTGGGGGATATAGCTGCCCCATAGAAGCAGCTGAAGACAGGGGGGATCCAGACAGGGGCTTGGGGGTGTCGCAGACCCCCTCCCCAGCCGGCAGAACCCCCTTTTCCCAAGGCGGAGGAGCAGCGGTCAGCAATGGCCACCACGAAGAAATCTGCAGCCGGACAAGCAGGTGCAGGAGGGAGAAAGTTGGAAGAATTATGAAAGTTGCTTTCAACCGGGACAAGACAAGAGAAAGTGCCCTGGAATCTTGAAGGCTGCTAAGGATACACTGTTTCTAGTGAGAGTTACAAGCTGCGAATATCCTAAAAGGGAATTTTTTTTTTTTCGTTTCACTCTCCTTCCTAACGTGACAGCGGATGGAATCATAAGAGAAATCCGAAAACCTGCATTGGAGGTAATTGAATGCTGAAGGGATAAGGATTTCTGAACATTCAAAGGGAAAAAAAATCTTTTTGGCTGTGAGTGGGAAGGGAGGAAAAAAAAATTGGAGCAAAATTTGAAAATAAGGAGAAGATTGCCTAGAATTCTAAAGAGTTACTAAACATCAATAAGACTTCTAAAAGATATATTTTAAAGGGAACTTTGTAACTAAACTTTAACCCCAGAAAGAGAAAGTGAAGAAGGAGAAAGTATTTAAAAGAAATAGCTTGTTTGGATTGTTTGGTGATTTTGGAACTTCTGAGAATTATTTCTGATTAAAAGCACTTGGGTGGTTGTTTGGAAAAACTTTTTCTCTACACAATGGCATCACTAGTGGATGGACTGAAACTTGTATACCAAAAATATGAAAAAGAAAAGCAAGAAGGGAAAGATGTCCTTGGCACTCTTTTTCAATTTTTAGAAATGGCGGTTTGTACTTATGTAAAGCTGAATGAGCAACAGGATGACTGGGACAAAGAAGAAGCCATCTTTGATGAACAAATAACTTTGGTCGGAGAAGGAAAAAAGAAAGAGAAAAAGGAAAAGAAGACTTTAAGACCTGGAAAAACAATCCAAAAAGAGAAGAATAAGGTGAAAAGGGGATATTATGTTAGGAAACAACAGAAAGGGAGAAAGCAGAATAAAAGGGAGGTGGAGAGACAAGGGGGTAAAGAGGACAAGGAGAAGAAGAAGCAAGGGAGAAAGGAAGGGATGAGAAGCCTTAATGGTGGGGAGCAAGATGTAAAGAAGCAAAAGTTTTTTAGAGATAATGGATAAATTTTATTGAAAAAGGGATTCTAGAAAGGTACATAAGATTGTATTTCTATATTTGTATTTAGAAATAACCATAGAAAACTGGAAATAATATGTAATTTAAAATGCGATAAAATATTTAGTATAATCTAGTGAAATTTTTGTTAAGAAAAGGGGAGTACTGTAATGAAACAATGATTTAAGATATGTGATGTGGGGGGGGGAATAATTTTGGAAAGCATAAGTGTTCCCACAAAGGCATGATATTTAACTGAAATGGGTAAAATGTTTAAGATATAAATGATTGTTAATATTAATGATTAGACTATGTTATCCTAGTGAAACTTTTTGTGAAATGAGAGATTTGAAGTAGGAGAAGGGGGAACATCGTAATGAAATAATGATCTATAATATGTGATGTGCGGGGGGGGGGAATAACTATGGAAAATAGGTGCTCCCATAAAAGTATGTGATTTAACTGAAAAGTAATGTGCTAAATGTTTAAGATATAAATGAATATCAATATTAATGAATAGATTTGTATTGGTTTTGATAACACTGTATAATTTTAGAACGTACCAGACAGAATCCCAATGTAAGTTATGTGTTCTATATTAAGTATTATAAATATAGGGGAAAGAGATAAAGGCATCATACTCCATTTAGTGTACAGGAGAAGTTTTTTTTCAAAGAAGAAAGATAAATGGATAGCTGGAAATAGAACAGACAAAGAATAATAAATATGATGATTCCAATTGAGAGGAGATAAATAAAATAAAAATTGAGAAAATTTAAAAGAGAGGAGAAGTTATATAGAAAATTGAAAATGTTAATAAGATATGGAATGGTATGTAAAATGAATATGAATTTGAATTTGTGTCTGTGCCAAGAGTTTTAACCCGGGACTAAGCAACTTTCAGAAAAGAGATTTCTTATGCTTTTATGTTTTGTGTTTCTGTGTATTTATGTTTTGTATGTCTTTAAAAATTAATAAAATTTGTTAATAAAAAAAGGTCACAATAATCTTTAAGCCTTTTTGATAGATAGTCCTTGCTTAACCATTTGAAATTGTGACAGACCCTCCAAAGCTACTTACAATCCAGTTGTGTCAGTTGCAGCCCCCTGCAGTCACATGATCACATTTTAGGCATTTGCAGCTGTCTCACCTTTATGGCTGGTTACAGCATTCTGTGGTCACATGACCACAATTGACAATGGTTTTCATCATTTTTGGCCTTTTTCGCTGGTTTCCAACAAAAAATGCCCATAGGATTTGCTTAATGTCCAATATGTTCGATTAACAACAACCATGTTCACTTAATGACCACAGTAAAGAAATAATAAAATTAGGTATGGTCACGTGGATGCTTTGACTTACTTCCATCATGACTTATGATGGAAATGTTTGGGGGTCCATTAGGGTCGTAAGACAAGGATTACCTGTAAATGGCATTTTAATTGTACTATGCTCCCAATTTGCCCAGCGACACACATTTATTACTTACCTGTTTCGCTTCTGTCTCTGCTTTGCTGATGTCGTTCTTGCAAGTCATCATCTGCCCAGCAAGGGTAGCATCTTCCCCATCTTCACTGCTGGACAATCCAGCTGACACTGCATTGAAATGCTGCTGTGCTGCAGCCAGAGCCTCAGTGTCTTTATTGTTTTCCTCCTGAAGGACACTCAAAGCATCTCTCAACTTCTTGACTTCTTTTTCCTTCAAGGCTAAGGCTTTAGAATCCTGAAAAAAAAAAGTTGTATAATTAAAAGGCCAATTTAAAAAAAGGGGGGGAAATATATAAATTAATAAGAAAAGCTAAGCACAATCCTACTTTATCCCATAATAAAGTTCCAATGAAAGTCAAGAATTAAAACAACTGTGATCCTAAGAGAATAATTAATTTGGCTGGCCAATCTTGAATCTGGGGCTGTTTTGGCATTTTCCGCAGTTTAGATCGTATCTACATATACCGTGTTTCTCATATAATAAGGCCGGGTCTTATTTTTTTTTGAGCCCCGAAAAAATGGCTAGGCCGTCTTTTCGGGGGTGACTTAATTCCCCCCCCTTGCATCTTCGGGCGAGTGGGCGGCGACGGCTTGGATGTTGACCTCGGCGTTGGTGGGGCACTTCATATCAGGGTCAACGCAGGCAGCACCATATCCGGGTGTGCCCCAAAAGTACTTCCTAACGGCAAGCCCCCCCACCATTCCTCCCCCATTTCGCATGTTTTAATATAAGCCTTAATTTGGGGAGAGGGGCTTAATTTCATTTCATGCCTATAAAACATGCTGGGACTTCCTATTGGGGGAGGCCGTATTGTTGGAGAAACAGGGTATTTATTCAGAAATAAGCCCCATTGTGTTCATAAAGTTTATTTATGTGGTCATGAATTAAAATGTTAAAAGACTGTGCCAATTTATATCAGTTTCAGCTGTAGTCATTAAGTACAATGTCATGTAACCAGGCCAGTTTCCCCACTGACTTTGCTAATCTGAAGCCAAATGTGAAGGTTGTAAGTGGTGATCACATGACAGTGGGATGCTGCAACCGCTGTACCTGAATACTGGTTGCCTGGTTGCCAAGCAACCAAATCACAATCACTTGATCATATGGATGCTGTGACGGCCACATCTTTCAGAACCATTCATAAAATCTTCTGTTTCAGTGTCATCATAACTTTGAATGATCACTGAACAAGTGGTCAGTGAGAACTACATGTACTTTTAAAATATGATGATAGAAATAGTGTAGAAATACTTGCATATAGTACACTATATATTTTCAAACACAAGCTTATCGTGAATATAATTGTGAGAGGGAGAAAATAGTGTATATTTTTAAAGAGCATTTCCATTGCTTACCTCTTCCATGGCTTTAACCAATTCTTTCCGCTTGTTCTCTTCACTTTGTAAATTTTGCTTTTTGATAGCAAGAGTACTTTCTACTTTGGTATCAGTTCTCTGAACCACGGCAAGAGCTTCCTCTAGAGAATGGAGTGCACCACCACATTCCTACAAATATAATTTCACATTTTAATAGAAACAGATTTCTGTTTGCAATAGTACCTCTACCCATCTTCCTCAGGAATTTCACTAACACACACACAAAAAATGGGAATAAAACAAAAACAAAAGACAAAAATATTTAAATCCTTCCCATTCAACCTCTTGAATGATTCTATACCAAGCAAAATCGAAACAGGAACCTAACTGTGGAGCATATGGAAAAGATCTTTTCCAGAAAAGAACTGTCTTATCTTTACACATCATACAAATCCCCCCGTTCTTGATATTGACTTAACATGTTCTGTGTGTAGCCCATTCTGTATTTTATGCCAGTTTGTTAATTAGTGCTGTAGGAATCCAGACATTAAACATGCTTGCTCAGTGCCCTGAACTATAGCAAGTTTGAGCCTTTCCGACCTGGCTATATCTCTCTGCTTAGTGTCCAAAAGTGGATTAACACTTGCAGGATTAGAAACAACTTCAGGACAAAAGGCTCCTCTTTTTTGTTGTAACCCATTGTTATCTAGATCAGCGGTCCCCAACTTTCCAGCTTGGCAGACTTCCAAGGAGGGGGGGGGGGGGGGGGGTGGGTCTGTGTAAACCTGAGTACCCTCCACTCACGGAAATGGAGCTTCGCGCGCATGTTCCTTCACTGCTTGTGCAGCCTGATTCTGAGTGGGCCGCAGCCCAGAGTGGGCTGTGGCTCCAATGTTGGGGACCCGTGATCTAGATAACCTGGAGATATGTACTATCAACCTGAACACTTTACTAGCCTCCAGTTGTTCAACTAATTGTATGGCACAGATTTCTAATAAGTCATTATTTCTTAAAACAAGTACAACTTCCAAGTTTTATTCTTTACCCATGGGCAGCCTATGATTTTAATAAAGTGGCTAAAAAATGAGTTTTACTATTTGTATTAGCATATTGTATTAAAGTAACTGGACAGGTCTTACTTGATCCCTTTTCTTTTCCATCTCTGATATGGCTTTGCTGAGTTCCTTCACTTTCTTCTCATTTTCAGTCATCTCTTCTTGAAGTTTTGAAATGCTGCTTTCCATCTCCTTTAGCACATCAGCAGAACGTAGCTTAGTTTCTTCAGCTATCGTAAACTGATACGCCACATACAGACGGTTCAGATGTTCTATCTCTCTCACAACTTTCTGGTATTCCAAATAGGAGGATCGTTCCTGGTTAGGCAAATAAAACGCATCATGGACAGTTACAGCAAGCCAGAGTATACAGGTAGTCCTCAGCTTACAATAGTTCATTTAGTGACAGCTCAAAGTTACAGCGGCACAGGAAAGAGTGACATTTGACCCCCTTTCACACTTGTGACCATTGTTAGCATCCCTATCATCACAACATCAAAATTCACTTAGTAAATGGAATGTGAAAGGTTGTAAAATGGAGCAAAACTCACTTAACTGTCTTGCTTAGCAACATAAATTTTGGGTTCAATTGTGGTCATAAGTCAAGGACAACCACAACTGACCCCAAAATTTCGGTTCTTGAAACATTTGTTAAGTGAGTTTTTCCTCCATTTTACAACTTTTCTTGCCACAGTTGTTAATCACTGCGGTTGATAAGTTAATAACCTGGTTGTTAAGTGAATCTGGCTTCCCCATTGACATTGCTTGTCAGGTCATCATGAAAGGTGATCATATGACCTCGGGACACAGCCAACGGTCATAAATATGAACAAGTTGCCAAGCACCTGCATTTTGATCATATGATCATGCAGATGCTGCCAAGGTCACAACTGTGAAAAATGGTTATAAGACATATTTTTCAGTGATGTTGTAACTTTGAATGATCACTATAACTGTTGTAAGTCGAGGACTACCTGTATGACAGAATAGCTATTCTGCATGAATGAAACTGAGATTCCTTCTCTCTCTTTTGCTGTCCTTCACAATTGCTCAGCAGATGATGAAGTTCATGGGGAAAATTTTATTGCATAAACACTTTTCCACTTGCATATTTTTGGCTTTTGCCCAGGGGTTGCAATAGAAAGGAAATGCAAAGTCTAATCGCATTGAATCAAATTATTTCAGAATTTCCATTAGCAAGCTAGGATTTGTAACTTGCTTAATAGTAACCACACTGAATTCAGTGGGATTCATAGGGTATAATAAGCTATAATGTTCTCTGCTTTTGATTGAGGTTGCTTGTACACAGGGGTGGGATGCTACCGGTTCTGCCCGGCTCTATAGAACCGGTAGCTCTGAAGAGCAGCAGACACAGAACCAGTTCTGTGTTTGCTCCTGTTTGGCCCACCCACCTGCCCGGGCTCTTACCTGTCCTTTATTTCCTGCTTTTTAAACCTCAGCTGCTTTGCGCAGCACCGCTGAGGTTGAAAAAGCAGGAAAAAAGTGGCTTTTCAAATGCTGCACGCCTGCATGCAGTGCTTTTCAGCTGTCCGGCTGGCACAGCTACGTATGCAAAACGTAGGCACCGAACCGGTAATAACACTGGTTGAATCCCACCACTGCTTGTACACAACAAATTATTATTTATTATTAACTAGACAATGGTTTATAATGCTGCATACCATCAGTTTCTAGGACTAAATCTAATCAAAGATGGAGTTTTACTGTGAACTCTAGTTTAAACTGTAAATACCTCTTTCAGTTTTTGCAAGGTGGGCGTGATTTCTTCCTCTAAAATCTGTAAATGAAAAGCAAGATGTACTTAATTTTTCAATTCTGAAATTGAACCATAAGAATTCTGTTTTTTTAAGAGGACTAATATAAATATACGATCAAGTAACCATAATGCTGGTACCGTGCAGATTTCTTTGAGTTTTGCTTCTTTTTTCTCAATAGTTTTTTGTGCTGCTAGTTTCTTACACTCATACATCCTTGTACCAGCTGCTTCTTCAATCATGGCCAATATCTAGAACAGCAGCAATAAAAAATATAATACAACCACAGATCAAGCTGTTTAAAAGATAAAAATCACCTTCATAGAAAATCCTGTCATGCTTACCTCTGGGGGCTTCATATTGAGTACTTTGGTAATTCGGCCCTAAGATAGAAGGGAAATAGCCAGCTATTAATATCTTAGTATTTTAAAGGCCTTATAATAATCTACATTTAGTGAATTATGGTGCATATCTCCCTTGGAAGAGAAAGGAGCATCTGGAGAGTGGGTCAAAAATTATAACACATTTGTAACAAAACAACTGGCCAGGATAAGTAGCTCATGGAAAACTTTGTTACTATGTTTTTCCACCTATAGTTTTACAAGAAGATCAGAGATATTCCTGTAATATCCTTTTTGACGCTAGATTGAAGCCCATCCATAAATCATTAGATGCAGGTGTGCTTAGGCAGGGGTGGGCAAACTACGGCCCGCGGGCCACATCCGGCCCATTGGTCTGTCCAATCCGGCCCACCCCTGAAAAAAAATCGCTGGGCGTGGCGTATTGCCCTGTGCCGCGTGGCCCCCAAAGCTGCAAAACAGTGCGGAGCGATCTAGGGGTAGGAAAGAAAAGAAATTTGCAAAGGCCTCGGCTGGGAGTTCGAAATCACCTTCGAGTGCGACCTCTCCGAAGGTGAGTCCCCGCCGATCCCCCTTTTTTTTCCGGGGCTTCCAGGCTTAAACTTTGCAAAGGCAAAGCTTGCAGGCTGGAGCGTCTTCCCGCCGAGGAGCGGGAAGGGTTCCACCCGGAGGGCGGGGTGGGCTGCTTGGAGCCACCTAAAGCTAGGCCGCTGCTGGTGGAGCCTTGCCCTGCCTTGGTGCCCCATTTCCCGGCTCGGCGGTCCTGCTCGGGCGGCACTTTAAAAGCCTGCTCCCAGCACCCGAGCAACTTCCCAGCAACTTTCGGCTTCCTTTTAACTCGCCTGGGCCCGAGCCGCGCGGCAGAGGGGAAGCCCGGCGGGCGGGCGGACTGCTTGGAGGAGGCTCCGGGCTTCCCCTCCGCCAGGCACGAGCGCCTGCGAGTTAAAAGGAAGCCGAAAGTTGCTGGGAAGTTGCTTGGGTTTCCGGGGCTTCCAGGCTTAAACTTTGCAAAGGCAAAGTTTGCAGGCTGGAGCGTCTTCCCGCCGAGGAGCAGGAAGGATTCCGCCCGGCGGGCGGGCGGGCTGCTTAAACTTTGCTCGGGCGGCACTATGGTGGTCTCTCATGAATGAAGACACTGAGGCAGTCGTCTTGAAGCCAAATCGGGATGAGAGCCCAGGGCAAGCTCTGACACCCTCTTTTATTAGAAGCAATCTTTGTTAACGTTTGCAATTTTTTGTTAGTGTGTTGTTACAAACTCATTACATCACACAAAATACCATATGAGAATACAAAGCTGTAAAGTTTAAGTTTGCTACAATTCTGGGTAAGAAGTGGCAACATTTCGACCTTGTCCCTCGCCTCGTGTTACAAACAACTACCAGAAGGCCCGTTGTCCTTGCACGCGCGCGAGGAAACAGATAGCAATTCCCACATCTCCTCTGTTTTTCTTTTTTTAAAAGACAGGGAGTGTTTTAGTTCCAACAGCAGCCTTTGTCAGGCGCGTAGGCAAGAGTGCTGTGTATGCTGATGTTATCCATGGCGTTCGTGACTTCTTCGACCATCACAAACATCTTGTCCTCGTCTGGGTCATCACAGGTTGGCTCTCCCATTTCTTCTTCGGATGGCAGTGGTTCATATGTGTTAGTTATTTGTTGATTCCAGAGAGCCATTACCTGTGCAGTGGCTTTTTTCTCAGCCAAAAGGGATAAACTGTTAGAAATAGTGCGTACAAAGATAGGTAATACACAAGGCAATATAATAGATCCTGCAGCAATCATACCAATAAGCGCTACAATAGCTTGCAAACCAGGTAATTTTGGGAACCAAGATCCAAACATTTCTCTAAAATCAAGACCATTCCATGTATGTACAGGTACATGTGCAATCTTGATCATTCTATCAGTTGAATAACTTTTCCACTATCATCTATTTCAATACAACAATTACTAAGGTTAAATTTTCCACACACTCTTCCTTCTTTGGCAAGAAGATAATCTAACGCCAAACGATTTTGCATGATATATGTTCTAGACAATGCACTTTCTTTAGCTAATGTTTTCAAAGCAAAAGCAGTTTCATTGGTTATAATTTCTAATACAGCTTGCAACCTTATAATTCTATTGAGCATATATATGTGGGGGTATGGTACCCCCTTGTTTCAGGTAAGTGAGTGTACAAGCAAATAGGATTACATTTGTCAGTGGTACATGAAGTAGAGCTTGATTTAACAGTGATATTAATATTTTGAGGGCCTCTTACTTGAGCAGAGTCAATAGGTGGGGTGTATCAGTAGTTGTAAACAGTGGTGGCCCCCACATTAGTCCCGGACACCTTTTGGAAGAGATATTTCTTTTCCTGTAGATAAGATCTTTGCCAGCTGTGTGAGCCGCAGGTGACTCCTGCAGTGTCGTTAGGACCTTGGCCTTTGTTGATGGCAAAACAAGCATCAAAACACACAGAAGTGTTGGTAACCCCCCGAGTGACATTATGGGCAATGTACCCATTTTTTGCTTGACTGGTAGAGAACATTGAGGCAAGGTCAGAGCTGGATCCTCCTTTGTAGGCATAGACATACAGTGAGGCGGTGATGGGCCCCACAGCCTTTGGCTCGTAGCATTGGATACCTTGTTTGGTGTAGCATCGTGCATATTGAGTGTTGTTATGCAGACAAGGGGAGATTGTCGTGGAGTTGCACTCAGGCTTCAAAGTATGATAGATCAGGGTGGACTGGGTCTTTGTTCCGCTGCGAGTAGTTTTGATGCAGGCATCGCAGGAGGATGGGGTGGCTGTCATATCGGCAGGAACGATGTGGAAACCCAGAAGCAAATGATGAATGCAGCGGGCAGCTTCATGATTTTGATGTAGGCAAGGCTGGTTTGGGTAGAAAAGGCCTTACGTGTCATCCAGGGACTCAGATGGTGTTGTTGTTGTAGGAAACAGCAGCGTACCCTCGTCCCCAGGTTATAAGTTCAGCAGGACCTTTCCACTGAGGATCTGGAAGCTGATACCGTTGGTCTGGGTTCAAGATGAGGCGAGGAAGCGAAATGACGTGATGCTGCTGTGCATGGGGGGGGATCCAGACTCATTGAGGAAGTTAAGAGTAAACAAGCATTCAATGCATTCTGGAGTCCTGGCAACCTGGAGTCCTGGCAATATTCTTAAATTTGAATTTTTCCTGTCTGGCCAAGGCTTTTTTGTTTTGATGAAAATAACTATGACTGTCCCAGGGTGTTTGTTGTGAAAGAATCATGCAAGAGATGGCACTGTCTGCGGTTGCAGCTGCAGCTGCCGCATCAGCCATATCATTGCCTTCCTGGAGAATTTCTGGGAAGGGTTGGTGGCTGCGAATGTGTGCTACAAAGAGTGGGTGCTGGTGCTGTGCAACAAGGTGTTGCAATGTAACAAAAAGAGAGAGAAGATTTTTAGAGACAGAGACTGAAGTGAAGGATAGGCAGTAGTTGAAAGCATTTTATGCGTATGGAGTTAGTACTTCGATGAAATCAATCTGTGTTCTCTGGAAAGGCCAGCCCATCAGGGGTCGCCCTCCCATTTCTTTTTTCCTTGCTACTTTCTTGTTTACTTTCAAACATACTTTGCATTCACAGAAACCACCTTCACCCCTTCTCAGTTTTCCAACTCATCTTTCTCCTTTTACTCAGGTTTCCAATCCTAACAACTCACATTTCTGTGCAGACCATGAAGGAAGGGAGGGAGCCCTTTTATGACCTCCCCTGCTCCTATCATGACTGCAAATCCTGATTTCCTCTTTCCTTCTTCAACCCTGCTTGACCCATCCACCTACTTGCAACAAACAATCATGGTCCTCAGTTCCCACGATTCTGCAAGCCTTTAGATAGTCCGAGAGGGAAGCCCCCCTTCGGGCAGTTAGAGGCTGCAGAATCCTCTTTCAATCCTCATTTGCATTTTCAACAATCAGTTTTAACAGACTAAGAGATTTTTTAGGAGTGTTGAGGAAGATGTATCCATTCTAAGATAAGGAGGTTGCTAGTGTGCTGAGACTTTTGGGTTAATACAGCAGTAGGTAAGGAGGGGGTGTATTGAGCAAGATTAAGGAAATAGGAGCATTGTTGTGACATCGGTTGACCCACCTTTTCTGCATAATGTGCTATATGTCCTGGGTGATTTTTAATTGATGATCTGTAATGGTAATTTTATCCCCTGGAGTGGTTCCTCCCTTTAACACATCAAACAGGGGGTTGAGCATGTGTGTAGTGATGCCAAAATAGGGACGGGTCCAATTAATAGCCCCTAAATATTGTTGTAATTGTACGAGGGATGTCTACACAATGGCATCACGTGTGGATGGACTGAAACTTGTATATCAAAATTTTAAAAAAGAAAAGCAAGAAGGGAAAGGTGTCCTAGGCACTCTTTTCCAATATTTTACAAGGAGAAGCAAGGGAGAAAGGAAGAGATGAGAGGCCTTAAGCAAAAGTTCTCCAGAGATAATAGACAAATTCCACTGAAAAAGGGATTTCAGAAAGGCACACAAGACCGCACTTCTACACCTGCATCCAGAAATAACCATAGAAAACTGGAAACAACATGCAATTCAAAATGTGACAAAACACTCAGTATAATCTAGTGAAACCTTTGCCAAGAAAAGGAGAGTACTGTAATGAAACAATGATTTAAGACATGGGATGTGGGGGGGGGGGGGAAACAATCCCGGAAAGCATAAGTGTTCCCACAAAGGCATGATATCTAACCGAAAGGGGTAAAATGTTCAAGACATAAATGATTGTCAACATCAATGATTAGACTATGTTATCCCAGCGAAAATTTTTGTGAAATGAAAGATCTGAAGTAGGAGAAGGGGGAACACTGCAATGAAATAATGATCTATAATATGTGATGTGGTTTAACTGAAAAGCAATGCACCAAATGTTCAAGACACAAATGAACATCAACACTAATGAATAACAATACTGCACAATTTCAGAATGCACCAGATAGAATCCCAGTGCAAATTATGTGTTCTATATTAAGTATTACAAATATAGGGGAAAGAGTTAAAGGCATCACACTCCATTCAGTGCACAGGAGAAGTTTTTCTTCAAAGAAGAAAGACAAATGGATCGCTGGAAATAGAACAAAGAATAACAAACTATGATTCGAATTGAGAGGAGATAAACAAAATAAAACCGAGAAAATTCAAAAGAGAGGAGAAGCTATGTAGAAAATTGAAAATGCCAATAAGATGCCAATGGTATGCAAAATGCCAATGGTATGCAAAATGCCAATGGTATGCAAAATGAACACGAATCTGAATCTGTGTCTGTACCAAGAGTTTTGACCTGGGACTAAGCAACTTTCAGAAAAGAGATTTTTTATGCTTTTATGTTTTGTGTTTCTGTGTATCCATGTTCTGCATGTCTTTAAAAATTAACAAAGTTTGTTAAAAAAAAGAGAGAGAGGCTGAGAGTTTTGAGGAAGGATAGAGCAGA